AGAGTGAATGAATTATGAGCTGAGATTCCCAACACAGGCCTTGGTGACTAGCTTTAGAGGAATGTAATTTAATGGTTTTTAGCAAGACAGAGCAGATGGGGGAAAAGGGCAAGGCCTGCCAGAGCTGCATGCTCTAGAGGGCTAGAGACCCCTTCCATCAGCCATGATGTTGTGGGACAAGACATTTCCTAGAAAGATGGAAGAACAATACACATAACACACACACACACACACACACACACACACACACACACACACACATCTACTCGGAGACCCCAGAAAGGAAGCCCAACACAGATGAAAGTACAGATAAAACAGTTATACCCTGATACACAGAGTCTCCCAAAAACCAACAAGGAGATAAGGTCCTATATGTTGTTGGATCCCTAGAGGACGGGCCTTTGCACCCCCACTTGATCTGTTTTGCACTCTTGTGGTTGGTTGTTCCAAAAACAAGAGCAAAAACAAGACAAAACAATCTGTTGTTTTCAGCAATGTTTCTAAAGATGTTTACCCCTACAGTGATGAGCTTCTTGTTTTTGGCTCTTGTTCTGGTTCGGCCTCCCCTGCTGAGGGTTATATATACTGTGTGAGAAAGTGGAATAAAGGCTTGTCTGCAGAACCTGAAGTTGTGCTGTGTGTTAATCCCGATGTCCCTAACTCAGAAGAACTACAGTTGCCATGCTGGCGCTGCAAAGGTAAAAGCAAAGAACCTTTGTTCTTATCCAACTTTGAGCTCAGACTCTGTGTGTCCATCAGTGAGTCTCAAGCACAACTGGGGTTGGGTTTTTATAATAGCAGAGGTTGGGGTGAGGCATTTCTAATGTTCAGGACCCTTGATGGACTGAAATTTGTCTAGTGGTACCCTGGTGCAAAGGGGAGGGTATAGGCTGGGCTAAGGGACATCAGGTGATCCTATCTACAGTAGTTGGAACATTAGGAATTTTCTTTAGATGGTGTGCTCCAGGGTTAATTTGTTGTCTTTCTTCGAACCAGGTATTGCCTTAGGGTAGACTCAGGCCTACTTTCTGGTTGGTCTATATAGAGCTTATCTTGGCAGGTGTGTAACAAGCTGGCCTGGGTCCTACAACCACCAAGTCTACCTTGGTGAACCAGTGAGTTTTACTGGGGTTACTTACAGGAATATGGGTGAGGGGTTACTTACAGGAGCAGAAATGACTCAAAGAATGTTGTATCACCAAAGTCCACCCCAGAATGGGTTATAGCTCAGCAAACCTAGGATCCAGGAGCACACAGCACACCCCACAGGCTGCTCACAAGACTGGAGATGTCTGTGGGGTGATTCACAGCACTCTGGGAGGTATGAGGGGGGAGCTAGTGAATCTGATGAGTTTCAGGAACTTCCTGAAGCTATTTTGAGCTCTTTACCTGAGTGTTTTCTGGAGCTTCCATGTAGGGTAAGATGTTTCAGTCATCACAGAAACTCTACACAACACCCAGCAGTGCAGCTATAAAAAACTAGGTGAGTCTGTTTCTAGGAGGCCTGCAGTATTTGAGCTACAGGATAACTGCATAAAGCAATAATTATAAAGCTATGATAATCACCTCATAAAGAATAAAGATGTGGTTTGTGTAACACAGCATACAGAAGGGAAAGGGTATTTTAGAAATTACCCACTAACCACCAAGGAAATCATAGGAACAGAGGAACGAAGCAAGAACACAGGCAAAAATTACTGATGTAAATTCTGTCTTATAGCAATTGCACTGAGTATGAATTTGTTAGCTACCATATAAGAAGGCAAGACCGGCAAAATAGCATGATCCAACTCTAAGCTGTCTATAGAAGACACTTAGGTATAAAGAATAAAAGAGCAGGGGTAGGGCTCTTTTAGAAACCACATTTAAAAACTTCTTTGAATTTTCATTTTATGTGCATGTGTGTTTGCCTGTGCCTGTTCACCACTTACATGCCTGGTTGCTGCAAAGGCCAGAAAAGGGTGTCGGTGTCATATACTGTGGAACCATACTTACAGACAGTTGTGAGCCACTCTGGGTGCTGGGACTGGAACCCAGGTCCTCTGGAAGATCAGCCAGTGCTTTTAACCTCCAGGCCATCTTTCCAGTTCCCCTTTTAGGAAGAAACTTTAAGAAATGATTTGATGTGGGATTCCCCTCTGTATGCTGTGAATAGCATTGGTTAATAAAGTAACTATCTTGGACCTGCACAGGGCAGAACAGAAGCAGGTGGGGAAAACTAAACTGAATGCTGGGAGAAAGAAGGTGAAGTCTGCAAGACACCATGGAGCTGCCAAAGGAGAGAGACACAAGCTGCCATCTGGAACCTAGACAGTAGGCCACGAGCTTTGTGATAAAATATAAACTAATAGAAATGTGTTAATTTAAGAGATAAGAGTGAGCTAGAAATTTGCACAAGGCCAAGAAGTGTTGTAATTAATAGTTTTTGTGTGATTATTTTGAGTCTGGGCAGCTGGGAACAAACAAACTACCTCCACAACAATGACTGAAAGAGGTTTTTAAAATACGCTAAGTGACAAAAGACCAGAACAGAAAGCTCTTGTTCCTGAGTCTCTTCTTTTCCATAGTGTCCTGTGGGGCAAAAAGCAATCAGAAGTGGAGGTTATACGTGTATGGTTTTCTCTCATAGATTTAAAATAGTTATAAAATTAGTGGTAATTACAGCTTTTGAATGTCCTAAGTCCACCAAAAACTATGCACCTTATAAAGGTGGATTGTTCAGACATGTAACAAGAGTTATGGTATTTATTGTCTGTCTCGCTCCTCCAGTTTTACATGGATGTGACTCAAATAAGTGTCATCAAGTAAGCCTCATTACGGTAATAAGAAAACCTTAAATTGGCAGTTAGTTCTGCTCACCTGGAAGGAAAGAGTCACCACTGACTTATAAGTTATATGAACTGGGCAGAGTGCACCAAGAAGGTAAGCCTGAAAGGCTGCAAGCTTACCTTCTGACACTCACGAGTGTTAGTAATTCAAGAGCTCCTCCTAGTCCATCAGTGTGGATCCGGTTCTGAGCTGCTGCTGCCTTCTCTGGATCACAAGGTGCCCATTCTCCCTGAGAGGGCACCTCTCCCATCAGGAGCCCTGTGGTGCAGTTCACATATACTTTGTGTGTGCAGGGTGGAACAGTTCCTTCTCCAGGATAGAAGATTCCACAGATGGGTAGAAATAACTGGAAAAGCTACAGAAGATGCTTTGCATTTCATGAGGAGATTCCTTCCTGGTAGTTTCTGAAGACGTTGATGTGAAACTTGGCCAAATGTGACCAAGGTTACTTTCCAAGTGCTGTTCCCAGCAAACTTAAGATTTTACGTATTTGGTAGAAACCAGTGACTGAAAAACAGTGACGTCTGAAGAATCACAAAATAGAAAAAAAAAAAAACAGCGCTCACTCTGCTAAGGATCTGAAGCCCCAGGCTTGCAGCACAATTCAGAGAACTAAGAGCCCCAGCTGTGGGCATGAGCATCCTTCTTCCCTTGCTATTTGCCCTATGTAAACTCTCCTCCCCCTTGGTCCCATCTGCATTCACGGTGCAATTCATGCTGCCTGGCTCAAGAACCATGCCCCATAAAATGTGTTTGACTTAAAATATAGAGAAATGAATGGCTTAAATGAGAGAAACATTGAGCAAGAAGGGTGTGAACAACATCTAGAAAGCTGGAGCCTTCAAGAAAAGGGGTGTTCCTCAAGAATTTCTGGTAACCAATTCCTCATGTGTGTAAAGCTGGGTTCCTGAGCTCATTCAGGCTGCTGCAATGGATGGTATCAAAACAACTAAATTTTATCTTACAACATTCTTATAATGCAATTGTTCTTTTAATACCATATTGTTACACGAGGAGGGGGGGGGCTTTGTTTGACCCCAGCAGCCCGGCTAGCTTACACCCAAAATAATCACAAAGAAACTGTATTCATTTAAATACTGCTTGGCCATTAGCTCTAGCCTCCTATTGGCTAACTCTCACATCTTGATTTAACCCATTTCTTTTAATCTGTGTTTACCACTAGGTCGTGGCTTACCAGGAAAAATTTAGCATGTCTGACCTGGTGTCTCCATGACGGCTCTCTGACTCTGCTTCCTTCCTCCCAGAATTCAGTTCTGTCTCCTCCACCTACTTAAGTTCTGCCCTATCAGGCCAAGTAGTTTCTTTATTGATTAACCAATGGAAGCAACACATAAACAGAAGGACCTCCTACACCACCATATACATTTAATACAATAAAATTAAGGGTTAGAGTTTCCACATGAATTTGAGGGAGAGTCAATATTCATTTTAACAACAGAAGCTCAAAGCAAATGCTAAGCCTATGGAAGACAGTGGGTGGTTCCCACCCCAGGATCTTAGACCAGAGAGCAGCTGGACCTTGCATGGAATCCACAATTCCCTGAAAGTAGCTGCTAATTAGAATATGCCCTTTCTCTAATGGCACATTTCTCCAAGACTGACACCATCAGCAAAGCGGGCCAGTGAAAAGAAATGTATGTCACCATCCCACATTCATCCACACCATTGCCATGTGGAAGCCACATGAGAGAGAGAGATTCTTTTAAGAAATATTTTCCTCTAACAGCAAATAACCAGTCATTCAGTCTCTTATAGTCACAAGTGAGTAAGACAGCAGAAAAACATTTAACCCTGTACATTTTACAAAGAGTTATAACCAGTCATAAATAATCTAAAAATATGTTACATAAATTAAAATATAATTTAAATAAATTATTAAATTTTGATCATGTTTTTTGTGGTTTATTTTATTTTGTTCTGTGTGAGTGTCTGCATGTATGCCTGTGTGTCACACATGTGTTTCAAGACCCTGGAGACCAGAGAGGGCATTGGACCTCCTGGAGCTGGAGTTGCACACGGTTGCAAACAACCATGTGGGTGCTGGAAACCAAGCTAGGTCCTCTGCAAGAGCAACAAGTGCTCTTAACTGATGGGACATTTCTCCAGTCCTATTGGTCATCTTCTTGATACCTATATTTTCTTTGAAACTGTAGGTAACAAATGGTACACTCTAAGAAGGAAAGCCCCCAGCCTATTCAAGTAGGTCAGTCTTAAATATTTTAAGTTCTACTAAGTTGTTCACATCAAACAAATATCAATTCAGCTCAACCTTCATTTTCCCAAGAAACATTATGATTGATTAGATTTCTGAGTACCATGAGATCTTCTTAGGAATCCCTATCATCTAGACAAGGTCTTGGTTATACTTTAACATTTTTTACCTGCTCTTCTCATCACCAGAGGTCAAGAGGATGCTCATTGGCTGCATCCAGATATGGCAGGATATGCTGGTTTACATAGAGGGTGAAGTAAGTTTCATACCAAAGACCTGCACTAAAGACTGACAATATAATACATAGACCGATTGCAGATTTGGCCTGTGATATTTGATTCTGTAGGTTTATTAATATTTTAACCTCTTTCCCAATATATCATGATCTACCGAAGATGAGAAAGCACTATAGTAAGCCATCTTATGGTTTTTTTTTTTCCAGCAAAGACCACAACACAGAGCTGTGTTAATGAATATGAACTGAGTGAATATGGCAAAGATGGCATGGCAGCCTCCCTGTCGCCCTCACCAAGCAGGCTCAAATAAGAAGTCAGACAGCCATCAAAACTTCCTGGTTGTCTGATGATGATGATTGTAGTAAGAACACAGGCAGATGACGACTGGATGGTCCTGGCTCTGTCACCTCCTTGGTTGGGAAAGCAGCAGCATGCTTGGGCTGTGCATCACAGCCTGCCAAGGATAAAAGGGCTGCTGCCCTGGACCATTCATCCACAGCCTCTTCAGCTCAGCCTTCTCCTCCTGCCTTTGCTGCATCTGGTGAGTACCTGACCAGGGAGAGGGCCTCATCTAGGGTGTGCAGAGAAGACAAGCCTGTCTTGACTGGGGAGGTGGATGCAGAAGTGTCTATGGAGAAGGCAGCAGGAAGAGGACCTGTCTGGGGACAGGGAGGAGAACACAGACAGGGGTCTGTGTGGGTGCATCAGAGCCTGTGACACAGCAGAGTCCTGGCTCCCAGCATTCCCTGCACTCTCCTGAGAGTCTGCATCTGGCCAGAGAACTCTGCAAGAGCCATTCTCCCATTGCCTGTGCTTGCTTCAGCTCACCAGAGAGCTACTTAGAAGTAGCAGCATTCCCTCCTGCCATCAGAGCAAGAGGAAGGCAGTGGCTTGCAGGTCATGCAGACCAGTTACCCTTTGCCTTTGCAAAGATCACAGCTCAGGGAGCAGCAAGTCTTAGGAGCAGGGCTTTATGACGCCATTCCCAAGGGACACACTGGCCTAAAGACATTTTCTTTGCTTTCCCAGACTGACTCCTGAAAGATGTCCTGCCAGCAGAACCAGAAGCAGTGCCAGCCTCCTCCCAAGTGCCCCTCCCC